CAAGCTGTTTTTCCTCCCTCTGTGGCTTTTTGACGTCACCTCTGTGCCCGTTTGAAGGCTCAGCTGCATCTCCCGCCAAGCACCAGAGGAAATGGGGGGAAACATGGGTGCATGAGCTCCTCATCCCATCCTGGGATTTCTACATCTCTGTGGAGCATATTCCTGGTGTCACGGGAGAGTTGGGAGCCTCTAACCCCATCCAGGACTGATACACACCATGGTAGCACCTAAAACACTGTGATATCCCCCAGGATGGGGATGGGGAAAGGCTGTATCCAGCCACATCTCTGTTCATCCCAGTTGTTGGCACTCCAGTGACATCCTATATCCCTGCAAGGGCACATGGGGCGGGCACTGTCGGTGCTGGACCAGGGGAAGGCAGAGGCGTTAATTGATTGTGCCCTAATTAATTGCTCTGAATCCAGGTCATGCATGCTAACAAGGCAGCTGTTTTCCACTGACCTCGTGGTGTTCCTGCTGGGAGGAGAGTGTCTGGGGAACAGGAATGGTGGCACTGAACTTCTCATCCCATTCCGTCCCTTCCCATCCTATCCCATCCCTTCCCTTCCCATCTCATCCCATCTGCTCCACCACGGATGCTCCAGTCCCAACCCTGGAGCAGGATCTCAGCTCCCCTGGGAGTTACCTGGGTGCTGTAGCCCTCAGTAGTTCCTATCCCATCCCAGTTATCCAAGGGGTCCTGCTGACCCCCCAGTACAGGGCTGCGGGGTACTCCCTGTATCCTACCCTCTTCCCATCCTTCCCAGGTATCCCAGGGGTCCCACTTACCCCCCTGGACTGGCACTGTGTTGGGAGCAAACCCTGTTGGGATGACCCACAGGGCAGTGGGACTGCTCCCCATCCACTTTGACTTCGAAAATTCCCTGGGAAAGGTATGTAATTCCCAGACCCGCTCCCACAGGACTCATCCAGGAGGTCTTCATGCAGGATCCAAGGCCCGATCACCCCAAATCGACCTGTTTCACCCCAAACATCCTGGGACACTTCACCTCTAGGAAAGATCCACTTCCCCCCCCCCATTATCCAGAGGGGTGTGAGCTCCATGGATATGGAATGCTGGAGCCTTCCCCTCAGAGCCGTGGCTGGCTCTGGAAATCTTGTAATCCCACAGACAGGATTTGGGCTCGGTTGGAGCATCCCTCTTGCCAGCGGCGACAGGAGTCATCTCAGCATCCTGTTCGTGCCCTGACAGCTTGGGATGATTGGAATCCCTTCCCCAGGGGATTTTGGGAGGAGTTTGGGATGTGCTAACACGTT